GATGGTGAGGAGGTGTGGGTGGACTAGCGATCGGAGAAGACTTATGTAGGTAAATTTTATTTCATATCTTCATTAAATTTTATGTAATCATACTTATTATTTATTAACTTTTTATAATTAACATTTTTAATTATTAAACTTATTTTATGATATACTTTGTGTATGTAGGCTGACTTCCAGGCTGCCTAATCCTCCTAGTCGACACCCGAGGAGACGTCTATCCTAGAGTCTCAGCGGATAGCAGAACTCAGTTGTGGGAGAAGTGCGCTGGGGGGAGAGCCTTCGGCCGTGTATACAGTCTTGGACAGCAGAGTTCTTCTCCGTCAGTCTACTATCCTCCATCCGACAGTGCGGATCAGTCGGTGAGATCGGAGGTACAGACTCTCCGTCAGAAGAATCATAAGCTACGGGAGAAGGTGGGGAGCATGGAGCTTACCCTTCATCACTTGATTAAGGTGGTTGAAGGGATGAGGAGTACACCACCTGATCAGTCATGCCCTTCGGTGCCTGCTTACAATTCTGACTCCTCTGCATCTCAGTCGGGCGATGGTGGCTATCGGAAGTGATTTTTCTTTTTTTGAGATTTTGTTTCATGTATATGCTTAGTGACACTCCATTTTATATTTATAATAAGATATTTTTAATATTATTTATACACATGTTATTTCAATTTTATGTAAATGTCTTAAATAAATTAACATAAAATATATATTTCAAAAAAATTTTAAATTAATATTAAAAATTAAATAATAATAATAATTTATTAATTAATACTAAAAAAGAATTAAATAATTAATAATACTAATAACAATTTAATATTTAATAATTAAAAAAATAATAAATTCATTTCCGATGCAATTTTCCAACGCAACATTTTGTGTCGGAAACTTCCAACACAATATTTTGTGTCGAAAAATTTTTGACGCAATTTTTGCGTCGGAAATTTCCTTCGGTACTTTCCGACACAATTTACGGCCCAATTTTTGTCAGAAATTTCCGACGTAAAATTTTTTGCGTTAGTAAATTTTTTCCGACGGCCATATTTCTGACGGAAGCTTTTGCGTTAGTAACACTATTTTTGACACAAATTTCTGCCTTACCGATGCAATTTTTGTGCCAGTAATTGGCCTTTTTCTTGTAATGTAACTTCTTTGTGAGTGACCAACAAGACGCAATTTTTGTGCCGGTAATTGGCCTTTTTCTTGTAATGTAACTTCTTTGTGAGTGACCAACAACTTTTACTTTGCAAAAATATCTAATATGGATCATTTTGTTTATTTTAAACTCTACAAGTCAAACTGCACAAGTCCTTGAATCTGACCTTAGAATTCAACCTATTTCATACTTCGAACTTCAAATGCCCTAGGTTCAACATGATTGATTACAACCACTTACACTATTTAATTATAAATGTAAAAAGGAAAAATTCTTATTTCACTCTATGTCAATAACAATACATGATACTCAAATTTATATACAAAAGGTCCTAAACTAATAAGGAAAGAATATCAAAGAAGAAATCTCTATGAATATCCTAATTTGATCCTAATTGATCTAATCTATATAGAATCATTCCATAATTAACAATAAACATTATCATTGTAATACTCTAATTTAGGGTTAATTAGAAAAATTTAGAAATTTAGATAGCCTAATTGGAAGAAACAGAAAGTTTAGAGGTCTAATTGAAAATGTAGGGGACACAATTGAACAAATAAAAAAAAAAATGAAGAAACCAAACCTAATGAATAGAAAATGTTAGGGATCGAAATGAAAAGAAGTAGAAAGTCAGGGCCCCAATGCAAAATTCTAAAACTGGGACCCAATCATTGGCCCCTTTCCTTTTTAGAAACATCGATCACGCAATCTAGCTAGTTGCAACATGACCAAATCCTCAATTCAGTGTGTATATAAGTAAAGACAAGCCCTTAGAACAAAACCCCAAAACCAATTTGGTCTACAGTTCTCAAAATCGCCGCTGGAAGCTGATCAAATTGTCGTGACAATCGAGTGGTGAGATTGCCATATTTTCTAGAATTTATCCTCCTCTAACCGCCTTGTCATAGCCAAGTGAGTCATTGCCAGTCACCTACACTTGGTTGTCATGCTGCTAGAGTATTACCAAGTATACTAAAAGAATTTTGGGATAGTTTCTGGGTTTGGGATTTTGGGTGAAGACAATGACCTGAGTGAGGACTTGAGTCTGCATAGAATCTAGTTCTTTCAACAAGATCCAAAGGCTTGGGTTGTGGGCTTGAACTGAACTAGATCGAATTGGGCCAAGTTAGGATTCTAGGCTAGATTTGACTGGGTTTTGGACCAGAATGAGCTAAGCTGAGTTGGGCTAGATTGGGCCTTGAATTGAGTTGTATACTGAGTTAGGTCAAGTATGTACTGGGTTTGGGTTGTAGGGTTGGATCCAAAATTTGGATCCATAATAGTGAGCCGGTTTAGGGGAATAATAGCCGGTTTAATACCAGTTCAAGGTTTAGTTGACCAGTCTAGGACTGTATTATTTGGTTTAAAGCTTTGTCAATGACCATTCGTGATTTTACAGGATTGGTTAAATGTCCTATTAATCGGTTCAGTACTTACTAGGACCAATTCAAAGCCTATTAAGATCAGTTCAGTGTTTTATTAACTAATCTAGTACTAATTAGGACCGATCCACTGCTTGTTAGCATCGATTTAATGTTTTATTGACCAGTTTAATACTTATTAGGACTAGTTCAATACTTATTGACACTGGTTCAATATTCTATTAACTAGTTTAACGTCTTATTAAGGCAATTCATGGACTTGTTAACCTAGTTTAGGACTTTAGATAGTCAGTTTGGAACTTTACTAATCGATTCAATGCTTAATTAACCTAGTTCAGGGCTTTAGAGGGCCGGTTCAACACTTTACTAATCAGTTCAAGGCTTAATTAGCTCAGTTTAAGGCTTTAGGTGTCCATTTCAAGACTTCACTAATCGGTTCAGGACTTAACTAAGCTAACTTTGGATTTTATGAGGCCAGTTTAAGACTTTAGTAATCGGCATTTGACCTTATTTGATTGGTTTGGGATTTTAGTAGCTCCAATATAGGTTTTGGTTGCAAAAAATCTAAATCTTGTACTCGAGTATTAATTATGAGTTATTTAGATACGATTCCTAGATATAATAGAGTTAAACTTTATTGTTTTTGTAATTTTAAATTTCTCAAAAATTTCTCGCTGACCCCAGCACCGAAGACCGAATTTTTTTATTTTCACTAGTTCTATCAATAATAATATGCATTCATGAGTGTTTTATAACTTTCAATATCTATCATAAATTTCTGAATTTATTTGATATATATATGTATATATGTATGTATATATTATTCATTGTTCTTGATTTCTGAAAATTGAACTAATTTATTTTGATAAATGCATACTAGAGACATGTATGTAATTAAACTGAATTTATTTTGTAAGCTAAATTACTTTCTTGATACTATTTGAACTTGTATTCAAAATTTTTGCTTCCTATTGATGTCTATTTTTGTTTATAACTCAAAAATTATGTTGAGGGAGTTTTAAATTAATAAAATACTGTAGCTAATAATAATTAACATTAGACTATGTGCATATTAAATTATATCCCCAATTAGTAAGAATAGTGTTAGATTATTATATTAGGTCAATATGATTAAACTGTATGACTATGTTTATGCAAAATAAGAATTTGTCATAAAATTGACCACTGTGCTATTTATATTCTAAATCACAAACTTCCTAACGTCTCGTTAATTGTGAACACAATGTCTCATTAAACATTTAATGCTATTTCCTTACAACTTATATGCTCGTCCTTTGTACTTATAAAAATATGTTATTATTTACTAAGTCAAATTGATTCATCATTTTATTATTTTTCAAATTTAAATATTGATCTTCTTTTGGATTCTGCTATTTGATAAGATGTTGCAATTCTTACTATATCGATGCTGCGTGTAGGCAAAATACAAGTTAGGTATTGTCCTTTTCTTTTTTCTGATTAGATTATGCTCATATGGATTTTCATAAAAATACTCCATTGATTATAAACAAACTTTCTGCTAATGTATTATTGAACTGTTTTGGTTGAGATTTTGAGCTTTATACAGGTTTAATTATTATTCTCTTGTTTTTAATATTTGATGTTACATACTTAATAAATCTATCCTTGATCAATATTGAGGTGAGAGGAGTCTATTAAGCTTGTTATGGAAAATTCTTTTTCATACTTAATGCCAGTCATGATACAACACTTAAGTTGTGACAATCATAACAAAGTAAAGTTCTTAATCCAAAATACTAACATATTCAATATGTTTTTCCCTAGAACATGTCTAATTTAGGCGCTAACACTGTGCATATCCACTTCCATTGAAGCGTATTAAGAAGTTACTTGCTATAATGAATTTAAAGTTAAAAAATATTTGGTACAAGAGATATTATAATAATAATTCTTTCCGACATTAGAAATCCAAATTAAGCTCCAAAACAACGCTTTCAAAAGCCTAGTTCTTGGGTTTTATAATTTAAAATCCCCAAGTACAGAAAGCTATCAAGGTTTGCTTATTGTTTAAAATTCAAAATTCTAAAGTCATACTTTTTGAAATACCCAAACAGACCCCAATGTTCTTTTCCTAACCAAAAAATAAACTGGTAATTAAGTGCTGCTTTAATAAAAAAAGTAGGTAATTGATTTGCTAATGCACCTGAATCTATGAGCAGCAACCTCAAGAGACAGAGGCCCAGCGTGAAACAAGGGAGTAGAATTTGCCCTGCAAAGCTTAAAATACGGTTCAGTGAACCGTATTGCCTAATTTCTAGCCTTCCCTTTTTCCACCAGTCGTTGAATTATGCCTTGTAGCATTTCGAAATCTTGTTTTTCTTTCCTTTTCCATGTTTGGTCAATCCTCATTCAGAGTCCCAATGGAGATGAACAGATCTTTCCACGACTCTCATTTCTAAAACCCGCTCGTCTCAAAAGCTAGAGAAGTAGAGACCAAACAGATAACAGCAATGGCGAATGGTCCACCCAGTAAAATGTCCTCGGAGTCCAAGGCGTCGGACCGGCAACACCAGAACGTCAAATTTGCGCGGCGGACATCCAGCGGCCGCATTGTCAGCCTGTCCCGGGACGATGACATCGAGTCTACCCAAGAAAACGATTACATCAACTACACCGTCATGCTGCCACCAACCCCAGATAACCAGCCTGGGAGTGCACGTAAGTGTGAAAATTCCTGTTGTTTAATGCTATTTGCACCAATAATTCATGCCAAAATTTGTGTTTTTCTGAAAATATGTCAAACACCAAAATTATAGCAATTAATTTACGGGTTTTGCACTTGACCGCAGGTGATAAGCCTGACGGTCCCGGCCCATACGGCTCGACCAGCAGGTTCGGGGCAGAGGCGCAGCGGGGTGAAGGCGAGTCGGTAGGTAGCGGCAGGGGCGTCGGCAATGCGTCTGGGAAGGTGGACCGCCGGATGTCACTGATGAAGAACAACAATAAATCGATGTTGCTAAGGAGCCAAACCCAAGATTGGGATCATAACCGTTGGTTGTTTGAGACAAAAGGGAGGTACGGGATAGGAAATGCCTACTGGCAGAACGATGAGAACTCTTATGACGACACGGGGGTGACCATGTCAGATTTTATGGACAAACCTTGGAAGCCTCTCACCCGCAAGGTTAAGATTCCAGGAGGAGTCATTAGCCCATACAGGTGAACGAACATATTTTGGGCTAGTTTTATGGAGATTACTTCATCATTGGGAGGGGCGTTAATCCAGTTGTTTATTTCTGCTTGAACAGGCTACTCATTGTGGTCCGTTTGGTAGTGTTGATCTTCTTCCTAGTATGGCGAATCCAAAACCCTAATCCAGAAGCAATGTGGCTTTGGGGACTGTCGGTGGTCTGCGAATGTTGGTTCGCTTTCTCCTGGCTTCTTGACATTCTCCCCAAGTTCAACCCCATCCACCGTCAAACCGATCTGGGAGCCCTAAAAGAGAAGTTTGAGACTCCGTCTCCCTCTAATCCCCTTGGCCGTTCTGACCTTCCGGGAATCGATCTGTTCGTCTCAACTGCCGATCCGAGAAAGAACCCCCTCTGGTCACTGCTAACACCGTCCTTTCCATCCTCGCCGTTGATTACCCAGTCGAGAAGGTCGCTTGCTACATATCCGACGATGGTGCCGCTATCCTCACCTTTGAGGCCATGGCCGAGGCTATCAAATTTGCCGAGGTCTCTTTTAACCATTCCAAAATGAAATCAATTTTATAAAGCAAGGAATATAGAAATGCTACAGTTAACTACAGAAATTATCAGATCTTTTTATCCAAATACACAAAAGGGTGAGACCCACGGCAAAATAATTGAAGTGCGCCCTCACCATTGTGTTTATACATGGCTGCCAATGGTGACGTATTAATTCTTAACCAATCTCCATTCAATCCAAATTTAAAATTTGAATATCATTAATCAAATTTAATTATAAAAGTTTATAAATTAAAATAAGTAAATCAAATATAAAATTAAATAATTAAATTTATTAAAAATTTGAATTAAAATTTTAATAATATTTTTTATTAAATTAATAATCTTTTTTATATAAAACTTTATAAATTTATAAAGATTAAATTAAAAAAATAAAAAAATTAGAGACCAACGTGGTTGATGAAATCAAATTAAGAGATTTTAAATATAAAACAAGACTCCTTTTTCTTTTGTTGAATTGAATATTTTTTATTAAATTTTTAATTGCTCATTGGCTTAGAATAAGAATTAATGGATGCAGATAATCTTGTCTACGAATAGGAAACCGGAAAGCTTAGTTAACTGTAGCTAGCTTTTTTTAATGTCCAGGATGGTGGTGGGTTAGGCTTGAGTTAATTTCTGACTCTAGTTGTATGCTACCTTGGCTTTTTGAGTACTAAAATAATGTCTTATTTTTCATCCTCTGAATATACCCAAACGCTGGCATGGACACGGGTGTATTAGGTTTGGGTACCCTTCTGCCGAAAGCACAACATTGAGCCAAGGAACCCAGACAGCTACTTCAGCATTAAGACAGATCCAACCAAGAACAAGAAGCGCCCGGATTTTGTGAAAGATCGACGTTGGATAAAGAGGGAATATGATGAGTTTAAGGTGAGGATCAATGGTCTGCCGGACGCAATAAGCAAGAGGTGCGAGATGTACAACAAGAAGGAAGATATGAAAGCAAGGAGGGCTTCGAAGGAGAAGGATGGCGGGCCGTTGCCACCAGACGAAGAAATACAAGCAGCAAGGCCACCTGGATGGCTGATGGTACACATTGGCCAGGCACATGGTACTCCCCAACTGCTGATCATTCAAAGGGCAACCACGCCGGAATTGTTCAGGTGATGTAAATATGTGACGCTTCAACTTTTTGATTTTTGGGAAAATTACAAAAAAGAAACCTTTATGAAATATAATTACAACATGTTTCTGAAATATGCTTCCGAAAGCACCTGAATTTAACTCCATGGATGCAGGTGATGAGTAAAGTTCCGGAGAGCGATCCGGTAATGGGCCAGGCGGATGAGAAGAAGCTGGATTTTACGGGCGTAGACACCAGGATTCCGATGTTTGTATATGTTTCGAGAGAGAAACGACCTGGGTATGATCACCAAAAGAAGGCTGGAGCCATGAACGCCTTGGTGAGAGCTTCGGCAATACTGTCTAATGGCCCCTTTATACTCAACCTGGATTGTGACCATTACATCTACAACTGCATGGCTTTAAGAGAAGGGATTTGCTTCATGATGGATCGTGGCGGTGACCGCATTTGTTACATACAGTTTCCCAGAGATTCGAAGGCGTTGATCCCTCCGATCGATATGCCAATCACAACACCGTCTTTTTCGACGGTAAGATTTCCAAAAATCGATCACCTGATAATATCATATGTAGAAGTTGTTTTCATGTCACAAGAGTACTTCATGATCTGAATTTCGTTATGCACAGATGGAATCAAGACAAGGCAGGCCGAAATTTAAAAATTTCCGTCCCTATTTTCCGTCGTTATTTTTCCGTCCAGCCACTGACATATATAATTTCCGTCCGTCCTATTTTTCTCTCCAAATAAGTTCAAGAACAATTTTTGAGTAACAAATTTTTTGACGACCTTTCTTGAACGAAAGCAGGAAATATGAGAGCGTTGGATGGGCTACAAGGGCCAGTGTACGTGGGAACTGGGTGCATGTTTCGACGTTATGCACTGTATGGCTTCAACCCACCACGGGCGAAAGAGTATTCGGGTATCATTGGGCAGAATAAGTCCGAAGCTACAGGGATTGATACTCAACCTGATGAAGCCTCTGACACAGAGCCCCTGGCGACTCACCCCGACTTGATGTTGCCCAAGAGATTCGGTAACTCATCAATGTTCGTAGAGTCCATAGCCATTGCAGAATTCCAAGGGCGTCCACTAGCCGATCACTTCTCTGTAAAGAATGGCCGCCCACCGGTGCTCTCCTCGCTCCACGTCCTGCTCTCGATGCCCAGACCGTGGCTGAGGCCGTTGCTGTTATCTCATGCTGGTATGTTTACTAACTAATATTTTGTTTCAAAGCTACCACATATTTACCAAATATTAGGATGTTTTGTCTAATTAATTATTTAATTAGGTTCGAGGACAAAACTGAATGGGGGGATAGGGTAGGGTGGATCTATGGGTCAGTGACAGAAGATGTGGTCACTGGTTACAGAATGCACAACCGAGGGTGGAGATCTGTTTATTGTGTGACAAAGCGGGATGCTTTTCGGGGTACTGCACCAATCAACCTCACTGATCGGTTGCACCAGGTGCTCCGATGGGCCACTGGCTCTGTAGAGATTTTCTTCTCCCGGAACAACGCTCTCCTCGCCACTAGACGCCTCAAGTTCCTTCAGCGCCTGGCCTACTTCAATGTAGGCGTTTACCCCTTCACCTCCATTTTCCTCGTCGTCTACTGCTATCTTCCAGCTCTATCGCTCTTCAGCGGCCATTTCATTGTCCAAGGCATAAACGTTGCCTTCTTGACGTACCTTTTCCTCATCAGCACTACCCTCATCCTAATCTCCCTTCTGGAGGTTAAGTGGTCTGGGATTGCCCTAGAGGAGTTCTGGCGGAACGAGCAGTTTTGGGCCATCGGCGGAACCAGCGCTCACCTAGTTGCGGTCGTTCAAGGTCTGCTTAAAATCATAGCCGGCATCGAGATCTCCTTCACGCTGACGAGCAAGTCTGCTGCCGAGGACGAAGAGGACATCTACGCCGATCTATATGTTGTCAAATGGACGAGTCTTTTCATCATGCCACTTGCTATAATCATAATGAACGTCGTTGCTCTCATCCTCGCATCTGCAAGGACAATCTACGCCGTGATTCCGCAGTGGAATAAGCTTTTCGGAGGATCTTTCTTCAGCTTTTGGGTGTTAGCACACATGTATCCATTTGCTAAAGGGTTGATGGGAAGAAGAGGAAGGATACCAACCTTAATTTACGTATGGGCAGGGCTTCTTTCTATTATAATCTCGTTACTCTGGATATCTATTGATCCTCCCGATGACAATGATCGTGCTGGCGGTGGAAATGTGAGGATATAATTGTCAAGATATTATCGTAAGAGGTGAGATTTGCTCTGTAAATTAATTGAGTTCTCTTCCCTTATGTACTATAGTTTGAGACTGCAACACCTACCCCTGAAGGGGAAGAAGAAGTCCAATATATAGCTCAGGAGATAACTCGTAACAGGTTTAGGACGTCTGTGTAGTAACTAGCTAACAGAGAAAAATTGGAAATGTACTTAAGATGAATGCTTTTCGGCACTAGCTGTTGGCCGCATTGCTACAATTGGCTAATTATTCATCACTTTAAATGCTTAGAAAAGTTAATAGGTTTGGACTTGGAAATTTAGTTGTACTTTTTTAGAATAATTTTATTCTATTCTTTTAATTACAATAATTTTATTTAAATATTTCCAAACCAGTCTAGCCAATATATTTTCACTTGTCAAAATCCATCCCTATAATAGCTTACATGATATTTTTTAATACATTAGATAAATAAGCCTAAGTTAGAGAATGGGAATTTTTTGGAGTCATATTCATAATTTTTAAATGAAATATATGAGCATTGTGCCATTTCAACTAAATCCTACAGGTTGATATAATAACTCAACGTTTCGTGGTATAGAAAAGGTTTTCTCAAAAAGTACAAGTCGTGAAGACGTGTCGTGTAGGTTGATGATATGGCGTCAGGGTTCAAGGTTACAACCAAAAAAAAATTGCCTATAGATTCCCAGGGGAAGGAGAAAGTTTCTTTTTCCAGTCAATGAGGTTTGCTCATGTTAGCTGACTGGCATCTCTGCCATGTCAGTCTAAGTTGTTCACAACGGCTCCCCAACCGTGTAGGTATATAGCTGAAGTCTGCAATGAGCAGGATGGGCCTGCCGCTCAAAGCTTGCGATATCCGGCATGTCTCCAAGGAAGAGAGCTTGTCTGCTTCACTTGATCTGCACAAGGTAAGGGAGCCGGGCCACTTGCCGAAAGTGGAGACGATGGAATGTCTAGTTAAGGATTCGACTCAACTTCAGGTCATGTCAAATCAAAAGAAGGAATTGCAAGTATTGACAAGTTGGCATCGGTGGTGAGCCATCATGGTGGAGACGCAGAGAGAGTGACAGTGGAGACGGTGCAGGCGTCGCAGCGAAGGAGGAAGTTGAAGAGGGCAAAGATGGGTAGTTACATATATTATATTAACATATATAACATATATATATATATGTGTACATATATATGTACATATAATATATATTATCTATTTATGCATATAATATATAATTTTATTTAATGTACTATTTTATATGTTAAACATACATATCTAATATATATCATCCTTGATATTTTAACTATTTTTACTTTAATTTTTTACATTTAAATATCGTTAATTCAATCTTATATAACTTCTTTAATTTATTTTTTTCTTCATTTGAATCTCTAATATTCTACTTTTTTCCATAAACATTTGTTTTAAAAATAATAAATAAAAAACATAATTTCAAATATATATATATAATATATAATAAAATAACGATATCTCATTACTTTTAAAGTATTATACTTCAAATGTATGTCTTACTTTTAAAAACATGTGTTTTTAAAGTTGAAAAAGAACGGCTTATATTTTTAAAAATTAGTATTAGAATAGTTACTTATTAAAATACTAAAAATTTAAGTTAAAATATTATAATTAATAATAAA